TTATCCATCATTCATTTTATTTAATTATTTGGAATGGTTTTCTCCTATATACATTACACTCGATTGTTGTTAATTCAAATAAACTAACCCTTAAAATATCACAAAATAGCAACCCGAAGCAAATTTAAAAAAAAAAATAAAAACATAACATATGCATATTTTAAAATGAACATGAATCTATTTAATAAAAGAATATTTTTTTAAAAAAAAAAAACTTAGAGCTTTAAGCTGATCAAATCGACTCACTTCATTTGACCGACACGAAAATTCGAGTCGGGATTATGACACGAGTCCTAAATTAGTGAAGACATTCGGATTTAAATGATATTGTTACAACACCACCATTAATTTTTTATTTTTTATATTTTTTTGTATATTTCTTTTGTTCGTAGTTTTAAATAATTATTATTTACTAACTGAATTGATTAATAAACGTAATTTCGAGGCAACACTTGATAAATTAATTTATTAAAATATTTTGACATCATAATTTCTTAATTAAAAAACCTTCTGCTTACATTTAAATTATTTATAAATACAAAGCGCAAAGAACTGAAATTAACAATCTTTACATCATGACTTTGATCCCTAACCTTTTTTATAAATTTCAAAGAACATTTTGAAGAGAAAACTTCCATCTTGATGAGTTTTGTATATTTACGTTCTGAAGTAAGTATTATTTTTTCATTTTTAATGATTTATTTTTTTTTTGAAAATTTTAGAGGTCATAAAAAATTACTCCGCAAGATTAATTATTCAAGGCGATTAGATTAATGTTTAAATTAATAAACTTTAAAGGTTATAATTCAACTATAAAAGGTATAAGATGTATATATGAAATTATTAGAAGGGCAAGAGTGGTATGCTCAGCTGTTTTAGGATTATCAGCTCATATTTATAAATTGGCATCCTACCATCCATCCAACAATCAACATGTTAAGTGTTTTCGGGGCGGAATTATATTAAATATAACAATATATAGATCAGCAAATTCAAAGAAATAGCCGCATTCAAATATATTATTTATGGCATTAAAAAATAAAAAAAATTTCAAAACGCATTAAAGAATCTTTTGTCGTGCCTATTATTCCACTAACTCGGTCTTTTGAATGCGTCCGCTTGTTATTTTGTCATGCCGCAACATTTTAGCTATTCAAATCGTCTATTGTTCAATGTTCAAATCGTTAAAGAAAGTACCCACAATCAAAAGATAAATTCTCGGCTGAAAAAGTTCCAAAAATGTGGCTCCGTGAAAAACATTTTTTTTTAAAAATACCTTTTTTTTTCTTCTCTCTTCTCTCTCAACCCGCTTATGGATAAATTGTACTTATTATGATATGATGAACATTTTAAGTTTCGTTCATTTGTTTAGCCCAAAAAAAAAAGAATTTTTTTTTTTTTTTTTTTTTTTACCCAATTATCAACTATCAACAATTTTCTTTCTAATACGATTTCCGATTTTCTCAATCCCAAAAAATATGAACTTTATTTTCATGTTTACCTAAAGTTTCAATTTTGTTTTTCGATAATAAATTACTAACAGCAGCTAGCCCTTGGTCTTGACCTCTGAATCCTTTTTATTATTCATTTGACTTTCAATCTCGCATTTTTTTGTTTATTCTCCTTAAATGTAATTACAAAAATCAAGAAGTTTTGGGAAAATCATATCGCTATTATAAATGAATTTATCATTATTTGACAAGACTGTTGTTGTTATTGGAATAATGGAAATTCGATTGCATTTAATTAGTTTGGTTCTTTTTCTATTTTTCTGAATTTTATTCAAGAAATTTGTTAAAATATAACTTTATTATGAAAATTAAATTAAAAAAATAAAAGATAACAAAAGAAAATGCAACTAAAAGGATTTTAATTAACGTAACTTCCTACCAATCCTATCATCATTCAAAGCAACTCGCATAAAGATACTGTAATCATGAGAATCGCTTTCGCTTTATTTGACATGGTCCTGGCGATAGTTTTTATTCGTCTTCCACTTTTATTTCGGCAATTTTCCCAATAAGATTCAGATATGGTATATTAATATTTTCAAGGAATTTTTTCATTTCTGATAGATTTTGTTTTTTTAATTTATTTAGAAATGATGCTGCGAATTGGTAGCTGCGCTGTTATATTAACATTTGAAAAAAATTTTTGTTTATACAGACTTTTTTTTTTAAAACAAAAAAAAAATTTACCTTCCAAGGACCGTAGTCACATAAATCGTGCATTATCGGTTAATTATCTGCTTTAATAATTTTTTTAGATAAATACTCCCGTTTTTCCATATATTCGGTTCTTTAATGATCTTGATTTATCCTTATTCCAACATCACTAACAACATTCATCATTACAGCACTCATCAAATGTAATCAAATCAACTAGCATGAGTTTTAATTACGAGCGATGAATTATTGATTGTTCGATAAATCTCGAAAGTTACTTTAAGATTTTCTTGAATATAATTTAACCCTATTGAATTTCAAAAAAGTATTTGAAAGACTGAAACATTTTATTTATAATTTGGACAAGTTAGATGCGTTGAAGCTCTGAATATTCGTCATGTTTTTACCGTAAATAATTAAAAAATTTTTTTTATTTGAATTTTTTCTAGTTTACAAAATATGTTTACGGACACTCAAACCCATGATGAAAACAAAAGGGTTTGATGGTTCCTTAAAGGTCATTTGTTTCCAAATTTGAAAGGTATAACTTGATTGAAGTACGAATTTCAATAAATATCGCGTGCCAATCAAAAGGCCAAAACTCGTTTTTTTTCTTGATTTGCAGGTTGGTTAATGAACTTGCATAAATTTCCAATCAATTTTCAAAAAAAAATATGGTTGAATCCTCTCAACCATCCAACTCTGATATTTGCCACGTAAAAGATGAATTAAAAAAAATTCTCATATATTTTAAGAAATGTGAAAATAATTTATCTGATAATCATTTGATTAGAGCAAAAATAAATGAAATTAATGAGCAAGGATTAGAATTTCATTCTTGTTTACAAAAATCCATCACGCAGAGCATCACACTTGAAAAACATGCCGAAAATATGATTGAATGTATAGAAATTTTAGGGAGCTCAAACTTTAGTCCAGATTGTGTTTCAGAAATCTTACGTACTCATTTAGATGATACTCAAACAAATAGGGAGGAAACTCGACAAATAAAAGATAAATATAATAATATTAAGGGTAGATTGATTGAAATTAACAATGAAATTTCTGCTCGCTCCATCACAAATATGCAATTATTACTGGAAAATGAAGAAGAATTAAAGGACCTTGAAAGAAGTAATGGCAAACTCGTGACCATGGGGATCATTCTTATGTTTGTACTTGTTTTTGGAAAATTGAATATTAATAATAAAGATGATGCCTTGATTTTTCTTGGAATTATGGTTGTGACGGTTGGCATATATTTTTTAAATATCAATAGAGATAAAAAAAAAATTAGAAAACTTGAAAGAGAAATAAAAGAGATAAGAGATTTTGAAGAAGCATTGACGAAAGGAATTAATGTAGAACAAATCTTTAGAGGCATCAACCCTTTAGTATTTCAAATGGGACATTACAATGTTTATTGGGATACTCAATATAATCGATTAAATATTTTGTTACAAGAGAGAACAGAAAGTCAAGCAATTCAATTAGCTTTGTCGAAGGCTAACGCTAGGTGGGAAAAAATTATGGTGGAATGTGATAATTATACTAAAACCGTACGTAAGCTTGTGAAAGAATCTAGAGAAACGGAAAATTCTTAAGTAACAATTCATTTTTTGATGGACGAACGCAAAAAATAAAAATAAATTTATATCCTATAGCGAGTTTTTTATTGAATTTGGTTTGATGATTATTATTAGCATGTCGCGATCCATTATCAATACTTTTCTTGAACTTTTATTTTTATAGTTTATTAGCCAAGAATAAGAATAAATAAAATTTAATCCCTTTTTTTTTTAAATTTTCACGTGTTGACAAAATAATTAATAGATCGATTAAAAAAATATATATATATATATTTTTTCCTTTTATGGTAACGATAAATTTTTAGTTTATGGAAACATATCCTGATATTCTTGAAGTCGAACTAAAAGTAACGCTAAAAGCTTTTAGAATCTTGTATTGGAAATCAAACTTCTTCGAACAATTACAATAAATTTTAGTCGCGAATTTAACATTTTATAAATCTTTTTTCTTTTTTATTTTATTTTTTTTTTAACGATGTGGTACAGTCACAAGTTTATTATATTTATGTTCTAAGAGAGCTGTAGAAACTTTAAGACTATCATTATATGTCGAGGATGTTATTATATGGGAGGTTTGCTACTAAAATCGCGAATCATATATTTACTATGTTAGTAACTCAATTTTAATAACAAATGACCCACAAACTAATCTCTGCCATTTATAATCAGTCAAAATCGTTTTATCAAAATCTACAGATTTTACTACTAATTATTAGCTAGGCTTTATTTTATTTTATTTTATTTTGAAAGAGATCAAAAATACTTCTCTTATTCACTTTGAACATTAAAGTTTGAGAAGATTAAATTACAATATTGGTAAGTATGTAAAGATATATTTAACTTGATTATCACGAATTTACTGTACCTCCTCAGGTGTACGTTCTTTTGTACTTATCAAATTTTGTCTAGAAATGCATAGTAAAGCATTACCATATCCTAACTCTTAGAGATGTCTCTTGGTGGAATTAACCTCTCGAGAATGTGTATTCATTTTTAAATAATTTCTCTAGAGCGCGAGGATTCATTAATCTTAATTGATTTTAATAAAAAAAAAGTTTGCCAATTATGTTTATTTTATATTTTACAAACACTTCTATAAAGAAAATATCTAAATATTAATATTTTTATATATTGGAAATCAGAACTAATATTGGAACTGACAATAGAACATAAGGAAATCATTGAAAAATTATTTTGTAAAAAAGTAATATATAAGAAATAAAAAATATACGTAATTATTCAAGAACCAACAAACTTTATTATTATTAAATATATAATTTTAGGAACGTCCGTTGATGTACGTATATTGCAATAAAAAAAAATATATGACGTGATTTATATATTTGATCATATGATCCTAACATACATACAGTATGTATATAATATTTCAAATCTTATTTGGATAAATAATTTTTTATTTTTATTAATTGCAAATGAAAGAAACGAAATTTAATTGTAATATGAATTATAAAAAAAAATTCAAAATAAGTTATTAAAAGATTTAGCAATAATAATTCGCTAATATTAAATTGGTTTTAAATAATTATCTGAAATTCGAAGTTTCACTAAATTAATAATTTTGAGATATATTCATCTTAGACCAAATGAATAAAAATAGTTAGTTTCTCATAGATAAAATTTGACCAGGCCGCCGGGATAAAAATTTATTTTAAAAAAAAAAAAAAATTTATTTCAATGTTTGAAAGATGATTGGCTAGTTTTTTGCGAATAAATTTTTTTCACGCCCAGTGACCTCATAAAAAATTTATCAAAAATAAAGTTTTTACACGCCCGGTGACCCGCGTAAAAAATTTATTAAAAAAAATTTATGTATGATTAGTATGATTGGGGGGATATGCAATCTAAATCTTTTTTTTAAAAAAAATCCTTTACCGTCATGGTAATAATGAATGGTTTTTTAGTCATTACCTTTTTCTCCATAGTAATAATTTAGTTTTTTTTCTTATATTAAAATATTAAAAAAAAATGTCTTCTGTGAGCATAAAAGTTATATTAAGAAATAATAAATTGTCAAATACATCCTGTAATTAAAAATCCTTCATAGTATACGGTTGCAAATTCGTTATATAAATTTTTTTCTATTAAATCTGCTCTCCCAATCCGATTCCTCTTGTATTATCGCTAGATATCCAAGATAGAATTCAAAAGTGTCACCACATTTACTTGTCACATCTAACATACAGTATTGATACAAATTTCGGAATAATAGAAGTGGAATAGAACTGGGTATTAAGTAAAGCTAGTTTGGACGAGTGAAATGTTTGAAATAAAAAATAAGCTATATGAGATCAGTCTTATTCCTACGCTAGAGGACTGCACAAGTCCAAATTTTGAAGCCCGCCCGTCCCGGACTTTAAGTCAAGTATAGAATCCCTGTCCGACCCAGTCCAGACTTAAATTCGTGTATTAAAAAACCCGCCCGGCATTGATTATATGACAATTCGAACTCGACCCAGTATAATTAATTTATGCTATTTGCGATCTGAAATTTAATTATTTATCAACGCAAGCACAATAGCGATATCAATGTGTGATTTTATGATGTTGACTTAAAATTATGAAGATACAGTAAGTTCATTTTCATTCTCTTTCTCGTCAATCATACTAAATTTTTTTAAATAAATGAAAGAACCATATTTAAGAACCACGAAAAAGTTAAATTTGTTTACTTTTTGTGATAACGTTTAAATAACATAATTTAAAAAAATTTTATAATTATACTTTTAAAAAACCTGCTGGAAAGAAAACTTAAACAAACCTATTAATACATAATAGAAGACAAATTGCAATATGGCAATTTTTTAATGATAATGCATCTTTGATTATTTGATAACAATGATCTTTAGCTCAGAAATTCTTATAATTTCGTTACCAAAAATTTAAAATCTAAACTAAAATTAGGTGATGTGATTTCTTTTGCAGTTAGCACAATATTCCATATTTACTATTTTACACTTATATTATTTAATTAGGTTGAAAACTGAAACAAGTTGCTAGATATTAATAAAAGTATAAAAACAAGCATTATTTATAGTTTATTTATAGTGTAGCTAATTTTCATATAAACTTGAGATCACAAAAAAATATTAAAATGGTTGAGCAGCACGATAATATTATTAATTTTCATGTAATAGTTTTTAGCTTACAAATACCAAAAAAAAATATATAAATATTTAATTTACAAAGTTTTATTAAAAGTAAAACTGAAAAAATTATTGAAGTGCACTAAAAATACTTCCTAATGTTGATTTATTAAAATACAATGTAACGCGACAAAATTAAAAACGATCTGTAGGAAACAATATTATAGCGGCTTAAGTTTATATTTTTTGCCTAATTATAAAAAATCCAGGCTGGTACTTTGAATCCAGACCCAGCCCCAAAATTCTAAACTTAAAATTTGCCGGCACAGGTCTCTATCCTACGAATAATTATAGTAAACAAAACTGTTGAAACCGTTGTTAAAGAAGTACTGAGGAGGATAAGTCTTTGATTTTTGAGGATTTTTTTATATTAAATTTGTTAAAATAATAAATAGTAAAAAGGTATTGTCGCACAAGCGCAAAATACAAGCCACATTGATATAACCGAAATTCATCGTTCAACCGCGTTTGCTAGGAATCAAGCTTGATCGAGCCAAAAATTGCTATATCTGGATTCATTACAGCCTGTAGAAGAGAGTATCATAAAAAGACCTCATGCGCACCAAAAAAAACCAATCAATTCATGATACAGACTAAAATAAGGAGTTATTACAAATTAAAAAAAAAAGTATTTATTTTTTAAAAAGTTCCCGAAATATGGTAAAACCTTTTGGATGCTACGCATCAAAATTAATAAATATTAAAATTCTTTCTAATCGGGTTTTGGACACATTTTTTGATTTTAAATATTTTGGGCAAAGGTTTGGACATAGGAAAACGTCCCCATAATCTGTCCATGTACAAAACTGTCCAAGACTATCCAATTTCCCAACCTGCTTACAATTATTAAAAATTGGTGTACATCGTGAGCTGAAGTCATGCACACAATGTGGTCCATAAATATTAAGAAATAACGAATTCTAATGTGTCAATCTTTCAGTCGACATTAAGTGTAAAATTTTTTACTTCTCTTGATAGGATCATGAATTAATTAAATAATATATGAAATAATAATATAAATATACTATATATTGATAGATATTATTTCATTATTAAAATGTTTTACTGACTAACCAGGTAATAACAATAAATTAAATGAGAGCATTCATATTTTTCATTCAAGAATTTAACATTATGTCAACATCCGTTTACTAAAATCACTGTTCCGGAAGATTCTTTTAAATAACATTAAAAGATCATGTAAATTAGAGTTATTAAACTAATTATAGTATGCAATAACCTTTAGTAATATATTTTAAATTGGTTAAGCTGCACATTTTCTCTACAAATTTTACGTGGCGCAGCAACAACTCGCATTATGCTTTTGCCTCATCACAACTCTAATTCTAATCTAAATTTTAAACTTTATTAATTTTGTGTGTTATGCATTAGCTAGGTCAGAACTTCACATTTCAATATAAAAATTAAAGTTGTAAGAAACTGAAAAAAGAATAATTAAATATTAAACAAGTATAACGTAAATCACCAGCAACGCAGAATTCTATTGGTTGCAGGACATAAAGACATTGCATTGCTTTGTCATTTGATTGTCCTTATGCTTCGGACAAAAAACGAAAAAATCGCAATTCTGTTAAAAATTTACAGAACCATCATTCAAGTGTGTATAATGTAATTCTGAAGATTAAATGAATCAATATCAACTACAAATGAGAGTAAAGGAAAGGAATTATGTGAGAAAAAAGCTATTTAAATTTAGTATTGCGGCAGAGGTATATTGCAAGTGACGTTAAATTATATTATCATAATCAATAATTAGTCAACTTTATCCTCACATTTTGTCAAGTTAAAATGGTTGACGGAAGTAATACACATTTAAGTAGATATTTCAAGAATATCATCGAGGATCATATACTAGTTGCAAATACCAACATAATATCAGTAAAGTTGTCGTTTGTAAACGTTGTTCACGTGGATTATGTGTGATTATTATGCATTGCATAAAGTATGTAATTCACCAATTTGTATTTACATAATGATATTGAATATGAGAAATAACCACGGATTCTGTAAAAATGAGAAATGGCCATTCGCGATGTTCTTTATAAATAGACTTTTCTACTTTATAAGGACCCACATGTTTTAGAAAACAAAGCAAATTGCCTGTTGATTATACTTCCAGGATTTGTCCTCGCGATTCTAATTGTCCTAATGGACAGAAAGTTTTTTTTTTTAAAATAATAAAAAATAAAAGACACTTGTTTACTTATTTTAACGTGTACTTAATGTATTTTTGGATATTCCTAAGGCTTCAATCAGAATTCGCGATTTTTAATATCAAATATAAGAAATATAGAATGATGACAAATGGTGGACGCTGAATTTCTTAAATATTTTAAATTATTATTTTTTGTTTTGATATAAAGACTGAAGCGTTAAGCACTCAAATCGTACATTTATCCCTCGCATAGATAATTTCTGCTTTAATGTAATATTTTTTTTTAGAATATATAAATTTATTTTTAAATAACAAATTATTTTGCTATTTGTGTTAAACTTGTATTATGTAATTTGAGAATACGGAATCGATTTTATTGTTTGTTTGTTAAGATCCTTCCCATCTCATATTTAACAGTGTTCTTTTATGCGAAATCGATTAGAATTTATTAATAATAAATTTTCATAATTAAAAATTGCGTCTAATCGCTAATTTAATCTTGTGTAATGAATAAATTTATGTATTTTATCAAGAATTCGGTTATTTGAGAAGTAATTGATGAAATTCGCCTAGAATCGACTCATAAATCCTAACTAACGGAACATATTCGAATGATTATCCAAATTTCATTAAGCGTATATCTAATTTTACAATTTTCAAATATCTTGATGATGAAATTTTCTAAAACTTATTATATCACTTCCAAGAATAATTTATCACTTGATTTACCAAGTTAAGCAACTTTTCCGAAAGTATTTTATATTGTTTTATTTAATTTCCATTTTTTTAATTTTTTTTATAAATATGAATTTTACATTTAGATGATTATTTATAAATAAAAAAAATAGGAATAGGATTTGTGCTTTTACATCATACTTTTTATGAAATATATTATATTGTAATTAGTTAATTATCACGATAATAACCTTATATAAAAACAAGAAGATTGAAAGTATAAAATAGTATCTTTATTAATTAAGGAATTATAAGTTAAGTCCTATAACTTATCTCAATTCTTAAGTAAAACTCTGATCATCTATTTATTAAAATTTGTTAACTATTACTAAACAACATCTTTCTATAATAATAAATAGTAAATAATATAAACTAAATAAATGATGAAAATAACTTAATTAATAAAAAAAAATATAATAAAATGATATATAATTATACATTTCAAGGTTGATAAAGTTATATTATTTCATGATAATTACTGCAGTGTTATATCATATGAGATATTTGCAATTAATAACGTAAATATTGCTTTGTAATTATTGGCATAACATTATTTTTTATCAAAAAAATAAAATTTTAAAATGATTTTTATATTATATTTAATTTAAATTTATTATATATATAATAGTTGATACCTTATAATTTATATTTAATTAAATACATAATAAAAAAATGATATTTTAGATAAATAATATAATTTTAATATTGTAATAAATTACGTTATTATGAATTTATATTTATAGTATTATTTTAAAATTAATGTGAATTAATTTTACTTTCAGAAATTTCTAAATCATCTTGATCTTCTGAATGAAGATTTGAATTATCATATAATTCTTCATTATCTAATAAGAATAAAATAATTAAATTTAACTTGATATTAAAATAATTAAACTTATCACTTTCTTACCATTATTTATCAAATAATTTTTTTGTATATAATACTTCTCAAATTGATTATTTGTATAATTAATTTCTAAAATAAAACATTAATAATTATAAAATATTAAGAATTAAGCCAAATTTTACAAAAAAAAAATACCTTTATTATTAAGTTTTATTTTTTTTGAATTAATATTTAAATCTTCTTGATTTTCTAATTAAAATAATAAAAAATTATAATACAAGTATAATTATTATTAAAAAGCATAAAAATAATGAAATAATTTATTACCATCAGTAAAATATGAAGTAATTCTTTTAGATTTACAAATTTTCATATCTGTTTAAAATTAATTATATAAATATTTAAATAATAAATCATATAAATAAAACTCCAAAATAAAATATTATAAATATATTCCTACCAATATTTGTTATAGATATATTTTGTTCAGTATAATCTTTAGTTATTTCTTTAATTATTTAAGCATAAGTAAATTAATAAATTCCTTATTTATTACATAATATATAAATTAATATTACTTACTATCTGGGATATTAAGACTATTTTGCTTACTATCATAAGCTTTTTATAAAAAAAACATATTAAATTAATATCTAATTAAACTTTAATATTTAAAAAACATTTAAATAATAACCTTTTTGCTCTTCTATAAAATAAAATAAATAATTTAATCTTTATTTAATTATGAATATAATAAATAAAATTTAATGCATTACCTTCAGTAGCATTTCTTGGTTTAGGTAAATCTTTAAAATTATAAAGTTTACTAAATTGACTGACTAATGAATTAATAGAATTAGAATTTATATTAGTATGTATATTTGATTGTGTATAATTCAAATTAATACTACATTCTTTATTTTTATTTTGATAATATGAATTACGCATTTCTTTAATATTGTTTAAAAGGGTATTAATATTGGGTCTTTTTAATGGATCTGCATTCCAACATTGTATCATTAAATTTTTATATTTTAATGGACTTTCTGATACTATCTTTAGCCTTATTCCATTTATTATTTTTATCACAAGTTCATAATCATGATTAAAATAAGCAAAAGGTGGTTGTCCAGATGAAATCTCTCAAATAAGCATACCAATACTATAAATATCTGATGCAAATGTATATTTTTTTTCAAGAATAACTTCAGGTGCTATATAAGGAAGATTTCCATATATACTTTCTAATGGTTTATCAGCAGGACCACAAAATCCAAAATCACTAATATTCTAAGAGTTAGCTATTTTACTATATAATATATTTCCTGAATGCAAATCTCTATGAATAGAATTTTCTTGTTGAAGTTTAAGAATTGCATAAATTATATTAACAAGTAAATTGATTCTTTGTTTCCATGTAAGTTGATTATGATTTTGTTGTAAATATTTTCTTAAATCTATATCATATTTAACCATTACTATAAAGTAATCTTTATTTTGTGGATCTTGAGTAAGACCAGAAGATTGAACGAAATATCCTGATTTGCTGCTTAATATTAATTGAGATTCAGCCTATAAATGAAAATACAATTGATTAGTTTTCTTTTTTTAATTTATAAAAAAAAGTCATTATTAATACTTTAAAATTACATACTTCTTTAAACCAATTTTTATTAGCATTTTCAACATTTTCTAATCTTTTAAGTATTACTTTTTCATCTCCAAATCTTATTAATTGTTTTCCGATAGAATCCCATTTTTTATAATGTCCATTAATCCAAACTGCTGTATAAATTTCAGAGCAACCACCTTTAGTTAGATACTTAATATTTTGTAAATTATTATATGGTATCCACTCTACTATTCTATGAGGTTGTATTGTTACCATCTGACATCTCTTTATTAAATTTATTAAATTATCAATTTCATTATTTTCAGATGTCCATTCTGAAAATTTTGCTTTTAAATAACTTTGAATACATTTCTCACAAAATGATATTGCTAAACATTCTTGTTTGCAGTTTTCACAAATTCTTTTAATTCCTTGATTTGAGGAAACTTTGTTATAGTCATAGATATTAGTCAATCCTTGTATTGCTTTTAATTTTTCCTCGTTTGTGAGAGATTCATCAGCGTAAATTGTTTGTTGCATAAATTCAAATTTTTCGTCTATGTCTGTATTATAATCAGTTAATGCATATGCTCTATTCAATGCATCGCAAACTAATTCCATACGAATGGAGGCCATAATGCAATGAAATAGAAAATAATTATTCAAAAAGAATGTTTAACGGGGGATACGGGATTAATACTCCGTGTTTATCCCAAATAGAATATACGATCGACACTGAACATCATTATTTGCATGGCAAAACGTAAGTCGTAAAGGTCACATGGTTTATTTTTTTTTTAGGGGGTACAAGTATTACATTATTTTTAACAATTAAATTCTGTATTATTTCGATAAATGTATGACAAGCAAATAAACATTTCACATAACTATATTTTAATGTTATTTTTTTTCGGTTGAAAAATAAATGCAAAAATCAAATTAATGGTTTTAGTTGAACATACCTGGAATTTAAGATATCTTAATTTTGTCGTTGGTTTATTTCATGTTAGACTAATACGGTACGGTAACACAAACCTATCATCAATCAGGAAAAAGTAAATAGGTTCGGTAACATGTTTAAGAGATGCTGTTCATGCTATAATTCAAAAAGTTTAGAAACAAACAATGCTATTCGAGATGTTGATGTTCGTTCTCAAGCATTTCTCAACTTTAATGAAGTGTAAAAAAAGTGATGTGTTAAACTCTAGTTTAAACAATCAATACCTAATGAATATTTTTTTTCCAAATAAAAAATCATTAACTTTTTTTATGTTTAGCCTATTTTCAAGAAACATATTTTCATTGATTACGAGTGCACTATCTTATTAGGGGTTGAATCGTTTCTACCAAATAAGTATATTCATTAAGAAACAAAAATCCGAAAAAAAAAAATGAACAAAATTTTCCTTCCGAAGTGGTCCAACTCGAAAGAAAATCCTAAAAAAAAATAGAAATAAATGAAAATAAAATCATTGATGCAATCGGTTCCGAAAGTAAAAAGAAAAAAGTTAAAAAAAAATTACAAATCAAACAAAAAAAAAAAAAACAACGCATACTTTTATTAATAAAAGAAAAAATATATACAGTCAACTCTTGATATAGCGAACTCTTGATATAACGAATTTTTTGAACAAATATAACAAAAATACTCTTGTTATAGCGAATTGGCCAATAAAATCTCTTAAAATCTTCACTATAGCCTTATAGCGAAGTTGAGGTCTAGGACATAGAGTTCGTTATAACAAGAGTTGACTGTATTCGATTCGTTGCGGCCCGTTGCGTAAAAACCCGAAAGTATAAAAGAAATATGAACCGAGATGACTGCGTCTATAGAAACTTTCAACTTATTGATTTATCCTTTCCTGGACTGTAAAAATAGATCTCGCTTTTGTAATCTTGTTTTATATTAAATCACGTTAAGTATCACGTGACGTAACCCAGCAAATGACCACATATGGGCAGTGATGTGCACTTGGAAGATTGGAAGTACCCTTGGAAGCACTTTTGGAAGGGTTGGAAGCATAATTCTCTAATAATTTCATTTGGATTGGAAGCTTCCAACCAAATTTTATACTATTGGAAGCATAAAATGCACATCACTGTACATGGGCACTTTACATTAATATGCTAAATATGATTGTTTTAGCAAAATAAGTCCAGATTTAACACAAAAAAGTTTCCTCCCTTTCTACTGCAAAGCATCTTCGCATAGTCGTAAAATTTGAAGGACTGAATGAGTCAAGCTTTTCTTATTTCGTTTACCATAATTCTGATTATCAAAATAATCCTGTAAACAATTACATTGTTCAAATAAAATTTTTGAATAATTGAAAGATGAAAAAGATTTACGTTCATGCTTACTAATTAATTAATTGAACCTGATGTGAAGTTACCGTTCGAATTTTATGTAGAAATATCCAAAATCATAATCTTTTAATCGATTGTCTTCCTGAAGAATCCAAAGAATTATGTTAGAATGATTATATCATATTGCAACTTACTTAAAGATCGGCAACCAACGATAATAAGTAGTAACACGAGAAATGCTCATCGGTCACGAAAATGCTTGATCCGAAAAAATTTTCCATTAACGGGATTTTTAAAAAATTGAACGGTGCATCATGACAAAATGCAGCTTAAACTAATCATCTAATCAGAGTTTACTAAATATCATTATTTGATGTTTTGTTGAAAATTAAAACGAAAGTATTCAATGTCGCACAAATTTTTTTAACCATAAAATTTTCCAATTACTGTAAACACAAACTAATTTTCTGCGTTTCAAATTCAAAAAAGATTTCTAATATTAATTCTAATATTCGATGTCTTACATCACCATATATCATAATGGATGAACATTTATAAACCATAAAAAGTTATTGTCAAAGAACAAAGCCATAATTAGATGCCTTAGTTGGACTTTTCAAGTTGGATTGCCCCGAAATTGAACTTTAAACTCGGCAATATGGATCTGCCCCAATTTAAAATTGGGGCAGATCGCACAACACATCCCGGATTCCACATGTATAGTAAGGACTAGATATAGTGTTGATCCGCGCATTCGCACCCCATGACTATCAGTAAAATAAAATTGGAGGTTTCATTTTGCCGATAACTGATTGTCCATCAACTTGGAAGAAGGTATAAATTCACGTAAAATATCATAAATTATCGAGCAGCACCTTCCTCCTTTCGTGCTCTAGGCCTATTGGCCTTATTCAAAGCCGCAATAAGGTTTTAATAATGACTATAGATTGGCACAAAATCCCGATGGGTATGTTATCTTTCGATGCATAATCGTCTTTGAATTCGTCGTCTACGCAACAGCCTGCCAACACTTTCATTTTTTTCGTAATCTTTAGCAGCTTTTCTGACGCTTATAGCGGCCTTACAACCTTCTGGCTACCGTTCCTTTAGCTGTTGTTGATATCGAGATTTCGGCGATGAATAACTGCGTCGACAACTACTCTCCTAATAATTGAATAGCTTGTTTTCTGAACCATGCCATAACTCATCAGGAATGAGCGAGATGCTTTATATCAATTGAAGAGATGCAGCGTATGTCCCAACTTCTTGACCAATCAAATAATCGATGCATTTGGTTATATGTTCTGTAGCATCAATACTTTGCAGTTAGATCAGTTGGAAATACATGATCTAGGTCAGCTTATATGTAATTTTAGGAGTCGGCATAAGTTTCATCGTGTAATTACTTAAATTACATTTGTAGCTTTTATGGTTTTTCTTGGTATAAGACGAAACCGAAAGATTATCCCTGTTTATTTTCAACATGTGGCTGAAGTGACAATATACCCCCCCCCCCCACATCGTAATGTTAACGTTTTTTTAAACTTTAAAATTTGAACATCAAAAGAGATGTCGAATAAGTAATACCACCATCGTCAATATAGAATGCCGAAGGTACGACCTGGTCGCACATATCATAACTGCCAATGAAATAAGAAAAGAATGTATAATAAACGTTTTCTTCATGAGTGAATTTCTTTTTTTTTATTTCTTGTCAAAAAATCAGATAGGTGCATTCTAGGGAGACCACATTCCTTTAAACATTTCGGCATCCTAATTCTTTTTTTTTATTTTTTCATTCAACATTTAAGAAAATCACAACCAGATATTGTCAAACTCCTTTAATTTTACGATTTTCATAATCGGAATTTCATTTTTTATTTCTTTAATTTTATTTTTATTAAACTTTAAAACTAGACTACTTTGCATTTTTTTTTTTTCTAACAATGGATTTGAATATATATAAAAAAAAATTTTTTTGTTGTAAAAAATACATTGGTATTATATGTTTATATAAAAATAAAAAGTTCTGAGATCGACAAGTATTAAATATTTGACCTAATACAATTCATTAAAATTATATTCTTTATTTCGTCGTCGGATCAACGAGATCGGATTCACATTTCAACCACTTCTAACAAAATGTCTTTATATGCAAGCGCATTGACAATTTTATTTTAATTACTTTTTTGTACTCAAATAGGTTGGTTTTATTGCCGATTTTTTCTTTTTTTTTTTTCTTTTAAGAAAAAAAAAAGAGATAAAAAAAAAAAAATTGAATTTCACCGAAAAGGCGTCAGAATGTGCATTTACGAAAGTCAACGTGACACTAAAACAAAAAAATAACCCCCAAAATTTATTTGCACCAAAAAGGTTTCATTATGAAAGAGTGTTTGACGCATAAAAGATAATCAAAAATTTTAAAAAAAAAAATTTGCCGGTTTGCCCAAAAGCGAGATTCAATGCCGAAATATATGTGCTTTCAAATAATTTCAATACTCCCTAATTTACAAAAATGGAGAAAGGGGAAATGATCTTTGAAATTTCGTACGTAATAATCATGTTATCGATGTGGTGTGTATGTTATAACGCTGCAAAGTCAAAGTCCATACCCGATTATCCTTTTTCCTTTATGGCCTCTATCGTGATCTGGACCAATGGTTCGTGTAAAAAGTGGTGCTAACATACGAGTTCAAGTAGAATCGAAAATCACAAGGTGATGGAGATTGCCCATTTCTAATAATAAAGGAAAAGAAAATTTGTGACCCTATGGCTATTTCAGCCCGGAAAAAGAGGAAAACAGGCGAAAATGAGCCAAATTGAAGTATTTCTTTTAGATATTTCAGCTTTAGAATTAGGATGGTGGACTACAATCGTAGTGAGAGCATTTATAGTTAGCATTTAGAGAGCGATTCATACCATATTTGTTGTTTTACTTTTTTATATTTACACGTTTTAATTCAATAAAGTCCATAAAAACCGTAAATTTACTTTACATTTTATTTTTTTATTTTACAAAAAATATAATCAATACAGAAATACAAAAACTAAAAAACCAAATACTTTAATTACTGAAAAAAAACCTGTCGACAAAAAAATCAATTTTTGGTGGTCAATTTTTTTGTTGACGATCAAAATTACAGCTAGTCGCGCCACATAATATAGCAACATATTAGGCGTATACCAGCAAATTAATTAAATAATATTTCAAATATAAAGGCCGGCCCTGGCCGGCCATAATCATTCTAGTTATAATTATTAATTTTCAGCCTTTAACTTGCTTCCTTGTTTGCTGATCTTGATTGTCATGTGACTTATACTAACGTTATGGCAGATAAATTAAATAAAAAAAGACGTGGTGAAATATTGGATTTTTTTACTCAATTTTTAGAAAATGCAGTAAATAATTCAATCTTGTATAAGATTCTCTTATTTCTGTAAAATTTTCAATACTATTCAAAACTTCTAAATATAATTTTGATCCATTGTATATAAAATCAAGAAATTGAATTTTGCCCCCCTTTTATAACTATACAATTTTTTGGCGTGGCATAAGCTGCAAAGTTATTTTATTAGGACCGACTATAAAAAAAAAAAATAAAATAATATCTTTGCTAATTTATCTATAGGATAATTTCAATAAGTTTCGCCAAAATGTACACAATATATATATATATTTCTTTAAATTCAAACGTCCAATCCAACATAGAGAAAGCTGATAATAAATATTACAATGGAACGGAAAAAAAGAACATACATTATCCATTTACCTCAACCTGCTACTATAGACACTATGGTCCGTCTTGGATCCCATTGGTCGAATTTTTAGTGTTGTAGTGGCCAAGCCCTCTTCTGTTTCTTTTATTTTCTAAGGTGATAGGCTTAATTTAGGTTAAGTTTTTGATGATCTTCTATAGAATAGACATAGATTAGTCTGAACGAGATTTTCATAATTTCTTCGAATATGTATTTTATTTTATATAGAATTATTTTATTTCAATAAAGATTTTATGGAACTAACGCACTTTTTAAAATATATTTTCTATAAATTCACATTCACATAATAAATATGATAATTAAATAATGATATTTTTTTTTTTTTATTCATGAGGATCTTATTAATAAAATTTTAACGCGAGTATTCTTTCTTATTGTTAATCACTTTCCCATTATAGTAAAAATTTCACTATTTTTAATACAAGACAAGTAACCTCTAGTTTTGCCCAAAATTTCAATCATATATTTAGCAGGTAATGGAGTGTATAAAGGAACTTCAAGTTTTACTTTTAACGAATACACATCATCTATACGGACAATACTATCACCTTTCCATAATGATTTAACAAATTCTCCTTTTTCATTATATAAGTCAAGGCCATGTACGAATGCTTGCTCGTTACTTTTTCAATCTACTTGAATCTCTTCATTACTTGTAAATTTTTTCATCAGCTTTAGGAGAAATGAATTGAATTCCTATGAACGGGAAAGAAGGAAAAGATTTTATTAAAAATATATATATATATATATATTTATTTTTTTTTAAAAAAAAAAAACTTACCATCACATTCACGTTTAGGACGAGATGGAAAAGTTGTATAATAAATAAAGGAAATAGGTCGAAAAGATCAATTTTAAAAAGAAAATAAAATGATTAAAAAGATCAATTTAAAATGAAAGAAAAGAAAAGAAAAAGAAAAAAGAAAAAGTTACGTGAAGGTATATGAATAGCTAGAGCTGACAATGCGATTAAAGAGAATAATAAGAGAATTGAAATAAATGAATTGAATTTGATGACGGTATTCATTTTGTAATTTGTTTGTTTATTTATTTATTTTTTTTTGTTGGTGGAAAGTTCTTTACATTTATTAAAGTTGATTTTATTTTATTTTTTTTTTTTTGTTAGAAGATTAACGGTGGAAAGTTTTTATATGTATAAAGTTTTCGTTTCTAATGAATCTTCGTTCAGCAACAAAATAAAGAAGATATAAAGATATAAACATCTAAACTATTTGCGAGTATAAAATCATCTTTTGATTTTTTTGTTCTTTGTAATTAAAATTTTTTTCAATTTTGCTGAACAGATTGGTTGGCTGAAGCTTAATTAAAATTTCTAAAAAAAAAAAAAAAAAATTATTTTCTTTTTTTACATATGTATTTGTTATGATTCTAATAATTTATATACGACAAGAATTTAGAAATGTAAAAGTAAGTTCTTTTGTTATGATTCTAATACGACCGGATTTAAGTTCTTTAAAAATTTGTAATACGACCGGATATATTTCTTTTTGTTATAAACTGAAATTGATTTTCGTCAAATGAAATTCTGAAATTGGAATTTCAGACGAAAATCAATAACGATTACGACCAGACCAGATTTATCTAGATGCAATTCAATCGATAATGACCTCACCACCAAGAAGATTAATACCTTTTGTGCTTCATTTTTAAGGGCAGCCGATCATTTGCATTTATTTGGAAAAGCGTTTTCATAGTAAATTTAAATAGTTAGCTTTTTCGTCAAAACGACATTTTTGTTTTCATTTTGTGTTAACAAAAAAAAAAAAAAATAATTCATGCGTCACTCTGTTGTCCTTATAGTAGGTCATCATATTTTCAATCGTTATTTTCATCCTATAAAGTTGAGAAA